TATATATATACAATGTCACTTAGTTTCTTTTAACATAATATAATATAACAGTTCCTACCTATTTATTCGAAATAATAAATATGGACATAGCTATAATGAAACTTTAATAAAGATATTTCTGTAAAAAATCAATGTTACATTTCTATAATTAAAATTATTTTTATTCATTTATTAGAACAATATAGGATATTAGTATAAATAATAGTATGAAATAATATTTATAATACTTATTATATATATAATGTCACTTAGTTTCTTTTAACATAATAAAATATAACATTTCTCAAACAATTTTTCTACAATTCACTTACTTATCATTAATCCTTTGCACTCGAGAGGCGCCCTTCAGTCGCGATTTGATAAAATTTCGAAGCACGATATTAATTAATATATCAAATTTAAAATAATGTAACAATGTGCGAGGTATCGAAGTCAAATAATTCTGCATATTAATTATTATACGATTTCTTATTTACTGTTCAAAAAATATCATCAGCCTTATAGCAGAAAATTTTTCAACTCGTACCCTTCTTTAGCCAAAAAATCGTTGAACGCAAAGGGTTAAACGTCTGCTGCTCAAAATTACTAGTAATAAAATGTCTTCAGCAACGGTGAAGTATAATTTTCCATTTTCATTATATATACCTACACTCGTTAAAATAAGCAGCTTTGGGGCACCAAAAACTATAGTGCCACAATTATCCGATAATATACCTGATAATAGTCACAGAATCATTAATCCAGTTTTTCGGAATATCAATAAAAATGTCAGCTTTGTAAAAATAACTTTCACTTATTTACCAATATTCAACCATACATTGCACGACGAATGTAATAATAAACATACTCAAACTAGAATATTTACCATTTTAGTAGCCCTTCGCCTTTTCTAAAATTACCAAACTTAATTAATCTCGTATATACGTACCAACGTTCCAACGTGTATCCGAGCCAACCATCCATTTACGAAAGAAATTATTCAGCAGTTAGTTGAGAAAATCTATATATCCAACGAACAGTTGTTTCGCGAAAGTGTGAAAGTAAAATATGCCGTGACAAAGTTAAAGTCAAGATGCTTTGTCCTAGCACGGAACCGTTATGTTTCTCCTGGCTACGACTCCTACCACGATCGAAACTTAAGGGAGCGAGAACACACTCCGATTCTTCGACGTCGTGGTAGGCCAGCTACGTTTTGGTCTGGAGTGTTTTCTGCCTCGGTGGTGGCAGCACATGGGGCACGGGGTGGGGATACCCGAAAGGCTTAAAAGGCCTTCCAACGTCCTTGTAACACGCAGTTCTGGAAAAGAACGTAATAGTATTCCGTTGGAATAGCAATCGACTTAAAAGTGCGAGCAGATTTCTCACCCTCAACTTTCCTTCCAAATTTCATCGTTATTATCCGTAACGGTGTAAATTAATTTGATAATGGTAATTTAGGTATATCAGTGTACATTGAAGTAATTTTCTCAAAATCCTGTGGACGTTCATTTTTGCATGATAATTAGAGGAAGGAAAGGAAAATAGAAAATCAGGGTTGATTTATTTTAGTGAAGAAAAAACGAGTGACTTTCATTTCGGAAATTCGGATTTTGTTAGTTTAAGATTGAAGTGGTTTGTGATTAAACTGAGTGTCGATCACTTGGACGGTTTCGAATCGAAGCTGCAACAAGTAAATCCGGAAGAGATGAAGTCAAGAATTTCCCAAATGTTGTCCACCTTCCTTCTGTTGGTGTTCTTCGTATCACCGACCTCCACCTGGGCTCTTACGACTTTTGGCAAAACCAACCCACAAACGCAAAACCAAAATCCTCCACCACCACCTACACCAGGTTCGTTGAAACAACTTTTGAAATGATTCCAAGACTTTTTAATTATTTTTTGAATGTTTAGATTATATTGAGTGTCTTTTGAGAAAGATTTTTTAATATCGTTACGTTCGAAAAGAGGAGATCAAAATTAGTATGAAAAGTTTACGAGCAAATTAATAATTAAAATATTAATATTATTATGATCACTTTAGTGTTACATTTTATATAATTAATTTTAGATATTAATCATATTCTTCCAAATTAACAATTAAAAAAGAAATAATTATATTACAAAAACAGTAATAAATAATTATATTACAAAAATGCTAATTTCTCTAAAATTAATAATTAAAAAGATTGATTTATTAAGAAAATCATTTGTATACTTCTTTTATATTAATTTCTCACTATTCGACAATTAAGGAGATATTGATTATGTTAAGAAACCGGTGCGTATATTTCTTTCTGCTTCTATACTGTCTTTATAATTTTATACCTTCTTCGCGTTAATTTCTCTGAACTTAAGAATTAAAATAATATCGATTATATTGAAAAATCTGAGTATATATTATTTTGCATTTTATTTCTTTTACGAGTGACTCATATCGTATTTCGAAAGCTATTTCTTTTATAAAGAAATTGCTGTCACTTTTTCGCCAACAGAATTATTTTAAAATATTTCAAAAATTTCAATGCTTATGACAAATTGGTTTCGTTGATATAAGTACCATATACGTTATATCATATCATAAATGAAATATAGATATGAAGAAAATACTATTATCAAGGAAATGTAAACAAATGCAAGGAAGCTTGTGTCGTAAAGTTGGATCTTTCCACGCATGAGGGTTCGTTTTAATTTCAGTTGGGAAAGCTCGCGAATGTAAGTTGGAGTCCGATTGCGCCGGAATTCAAAATACGACATGCATGGCGGATCAACGGGACGGAAGAACACGTTGTCTCTGTGGGGATTATTCTGCACCCCTGAATGGCGCGTGTACCAATAAATTCAAAGGTAATTAGTTATTTTTTAACATTTTTACTTTGAAATCGCTATTTCTATTTATCAATATTTACCCATATTTTAATACTTACCCATATTAGTTAGCCAAATAGTTACCCATATTCTTTTATTATTACTTCTTTAATTTATGCGTTATGTTTGTAGCGTTTACTCAAAATATTTGTATTAAATTTATGAAATATCGTTTGACAATTTAATCCTACAATTATATGACAGTTATTTAAGTATATTATAGTTTTATTTAACATTTCATTCTTATTTGAGGTGATTTATACAGATTTTTTGCTATTATCGTTATTTAATTTATGTATTATATTTATAATACTTATTCAAAATATTTAAAATTATTATCTGCAATGTAATTCAAATTGCAAAGTGTACCCCATTTTTTTTTAACGTTTCATTTTTATTTGAGCTGATCCATTTATATTTTGTACTATTGTTTTTGGTATTATTGTTTGATTCGTATAATATATTTACAATATTTATTTAAAGCATATGTATCAACCGTATGAAATATCGTCTCATTATTTATCGTTCTTTGTCACACAGTACGTTGTATTCGCATCGTAAAAGTGTCAAATCGAATTTTTGAGAAAAGAAATTGAATTTCTTGGTACACAAGGTACTACTATCATTTGCATATACTCACGTGTTCCGTTGCAATATGTGAACATATGGTAGTGTTGGTACCAGCATAGTGGTTATCTATGCAAATTGAAAGCTTTAAGAATACCATTGTAGCTCACCACATACTCTAACATCAATTTACTGGTTTTTCCAACGTACATTCGTTATTTGACGATGCGAACGAAAAAATCGATATGTTAGTTAACGCGCAAATTAATTGCATATTGTTACTGAACGTGTCATTACACGTTCGAATTTAGCAGAAATAAAATTTCATTGGATATTTTTATACAATAAAATCAGAATTCTAAATTTTCTATCCGCGTGTTAGGTTTCGTATTGGTGTATTTTATTGCGACAATTAATAACGTCATAATTTCAATAGCAGAAGCAGTCGAGAAATAAAATTCCAATTATTTGCAGAAAATTTAAATCTAAAATTTCAGGGAGAAAAATAGAAATTAACGTGAAAATTGTTTCATCAAAAATAACGAATGTAATTATTACAAAAAACTGTTTAATATTGAAAATGTGGAGTATGTGGTCGTTATGTACCGAGTAATAAAATATAAAAACCAAAATTTGTAATAAATTATTTGGTATTAGTATTTGAATTAAAAATTCTAAGTATTTGGAAATTGTGGTTTTGGAAATACTAAATGTCGGAGTAGAAATAATCTGGAAACATAGTTATCTGGTTTGATTATGGGATCGCTGCAAATAACTGTTATGCCGTTAAGGACATTGAATTTCAGATCATTTCACGTAAAATTGCAGACTGTTATATACAAAGGTTGAAAATTGATCGACTGTTAAAAGTCATGTCGAGAATACATTTGCGTGAAATTGCGTGTTAGCGTGAAGTTAAAACGCACCGAGCTTTTATGGCAATTAGGCACATTTGGTGTACTCTAAGGGTAGATGTAAACTTGTTTCTAGCTGGTATAAAAGATTTGATATAAAATTTAATAACGTTACATTGTTTACGAGATTCGTATGTAACATTTTCGATGATATATAATGCTTGGATGCGATAAAATTTCGATATAAAAATATAACTGAAATAGTGAAAAAATAATCCAGAAATATCAAATTCGTTAAATTAATTATTAATTATTAACAATTTAAGTTACGAAACATTAAAGGTATCTATGTCATATTTACATCTGTTTTTCAAATTGAAATCAAATTTTTATATTATTTACAAAATTATTGTACAACTTAAAGCATATTAATTGAAACGTCTATTGGTAATTGCCAATTATTCGTATTTATATATTTATATGTTTATATACACAAACATTCATTTATACATATACTAATATTAACTTTGATATTAATATTACTATATATATTATTTATATATTTATATATTTGAATCTTGCAAATTAAAAATAAAATTCTCATATCATTTGCAAGCTTGTAAAATATGAAATATATTAATGCAGGAAACTTGCAATTGTTACGCGAGTAATTTCCTTCTCATAAAGCGAATGCATGAAAATGTTCGAAATGCAATGAAACATTGAAAATAATTAAGATGAATTAATTTTCACTAACCACATTTTCACGTTAATATATAAAACATTTACTTAAAAAGAAAAAGAGGGACTTAAATTTTTCACATAGTATTAGCTAATGTTTATATTAGATACCTATTTTTATCAATATGTATTTCAAATCGATTAACGTTAATACATAAAGATATGAAAAATTGAAAATTTTTTGATGAACATTTTATGTATTGTCATACTAAAAAATACCTTTATTATCTAACTGGATAAAAGCATAAAAATAAATGTATAAGAACCTATCGTATCTTTCATTAAACATAATATACATATAACAAACATTAAATATACATACACTATAAAATATATATATATTTTATAGATAGATAGACACTAGAAGTATTAGTCTATAATAAATAATCAAATGTATTGTGCAATAAAAATAAATAAATATTTGTAATCGTGTTTCTATCTGAATAATAGTCAATTTTGCCAAAAGCAGCTATGTTTTCAGAAATTGCAGAAATAAGGTGTCTGAAACAAGTCATTTTCACTCTTTTGATAGTTTAATTATTATTGTTATATATATGTGTGTATTATTTGCAATATATAATATAGTTCAGTATAATATAGTAGATATGCACATATGTATTAGATCTACCGGAAAGTTCTGTCCGATAATGTCAACTGAAATTTTGTCGAATTCACTATACTTTCCAGACTTAATATCTAATTCGATAACCATCTGTTTCTGTCCCTCCAAAATTTTTTGAAGGGAAAAAGTTTGGAAAATAAAGCAGGTGTTAAGCAAACACTGCTCAAATTCTTCGCCTCTAAAAGTGAGGCCTTTCAAGAAAATGGAATTCACAAATTTCCATCATCCTGGGAAGAAACCTTAAGTAACGATGAAAATGACATTGTTAGATAAATATAAATAAATTTGTTGAAAATGTATTATTTTCTTTTACTTCAAAAACGAACAGAACTTTTCGGTAAACCTAATATAACGTAACATTCATTAAATAAGATTTTTATTCATGTACTTCACTAACAATGAGCACAATTTTCATACCATCCTACAAGTGATAAATATACGTATATTACTATTGTAGCGTTACATACTTCCTGTAATGATGACTCTGAATGTATTGACGGTGCACATTGCATACAACGAAACACTACTACCACGTCTGGGAAACGTTGCTACTGTCAAGAAGGATATTACGAAGAAAGCCCTTTGCTTTGTAGCGGTACGTCGATGTTTTTTATTGATCCTTATACTTCATTTCTTAACATAGTAATGTTAACCTTCAATTAGCTTTCGAAGCAATAATTTTCTTCCAACAGATTTACCTATAAATACAAAAAGTTTCTAATTACAAATATTTTTTCACAGGTAGCGCATCCACCCTTACACTTCACACAACATTTTTATTAATTACCTTAAGTATCGTAAAACGAAGCTTCAGTTCCTTATAAATCTTTCGAAATTTTCAAACGCAGTTTCAACAAAAGTGTAACAAAATCCTATTAACTTTAAAGCTACGTACGCTACTTTCTTTCAATTATGAATCAACCAAAAATACGATATAGAATATGAAGGTAGTTTTCAATTTACCACTGCATAACGCACGTAATCGTAATATACATTTTATATTTCGTTGTTTAATAATCGTGTTTGGAAAGCGATGAATTCTTTGCGTATGAAATATTCTTCTATTACACTCGTTAAATAGTATATTCTGAAAAATATATATTTTGAGTGACGTATATTTGAAATATACAACTGTATTTTTGGATGACTCATTTTAAAAAGAAGTATATGCAACATTAACAGGTACAAAACGTGAACGATCTAATTCTTAATTGCCTTATCATTTTCTCTTTATATTTATATCGTACGTGACCATTTGTTTCAGTAATTGTTAGTTTCTTTTCTAATAGAAGATAGCGCCGAGATAGTGATATTAGAAATACGTAATATTATCGTAGTCGAGAATATTTTCCTTTTGAAGAAGTACACAGATAACATCGTAAATCGTGGACGTTTCAGAAAAAGGGCCCACAAGCCAAAATGGTGCATCGAGTGAATCAGAAATTTATTCTCGCAGACGCACTGATTTCTATCAGAATGATTAAAGGTAATTATGCAGATGATAGTTATCCAATTGTGGTGTACCCATAGGGGTTAGGTTACCCAATTGAGGACGTTTCTGAGAAAAGGATCCATAAGCCAAAATGGCGAATAAAGTAGATCGCGTCAAAGGTTTTAATTTTAATGGCGACTAAGCACATCAGAGTAAACAAACAACAACGTTTATCTCAAATGTCGGAATATTAGGTTCAAATTCTATAAAAACATTTTTATATACATATATGGCAATATTCATTGTTTGTGTAATAGCAATTTAGCAGAAAATGGACCCATAGACCTGTTGATCCTATTTTCAAAAATATTTCAATTGTATTCAGTTCTTACATAACATAGTACATTCATAGGTATTTACATACATACGAATTATCATTTTATTAATTTTTCATTTTATGATACACATTCTAGTACATGCACGTAATTAAAATAATTAATATATATTTTTCCTTAAACAAAGATTTAAATTGTTTTATTTAAAAAATGATTTTTGAAATGCAATTTTACTTATTGAAACTTAATATCGACGTTTTACCAGAGTCACCTCTATATCGATATTTGTAAGTGACTATAGCTTATATTATTTTCTATAATGACTAACGTAGATAATATAGACCAGGAAATTGAAGAATTTATTCTGGGCAATTAAGAATTAAATTTTATTCTACAGCGAAACCGTCTATTCTACAGTATACTAAGAGCGTAGTTACAATATCGCAATATCATAACATCATTTAAGTATGAATGTGTAACGAAACCTTTATCCATGAGCAATTTTCTCTTAGAACTTTGTAATAGGGTCTTGTGAACAGTTTTATGTACATTTTATCGTAATTTCAATCTTTATATTGTACCTCTATTGTTATTGATTCCTATCTTTTCAATATTTATATAAATAGTTAATATTTATGACTTTTTGATTAAAAAGAATACATTGCTGTAGAGTGTTAGATAATCTGCAAAATGTATTATGATCTTTAAATATTTTAATAACTTATACAAAATTTTAAGTACGACTTAAATGTAATTTTATTTAGTCGCATAATATCAAAATATAATATCAAAATACAACTGCATTTAAACTTTTTTTACAGTGAGTTATATTTGAAATTATTACGATGTATGCTTGGTTTATGCTAGATATATTGTTTAAAATGCTGTAAGTTTTCTAGTTGAGAATTATTAAAAGTAGCGATAAAATTTGTTTGTAGTATACGATATAATAGAACGCTTATATATTTCATATATTAATTCAATATTTTCTTATTAGTTATATAATCTTGTCTACAATTGTGTGAAACTATATATAAATGTTTTGTAGGTATAAACAGCATTTTTGGAAACAATATTTATTTACAAAGTTAATTAATATTTTGTCTAAAAAATAGTAATAACTTTTAAACAATTTTAATCGTCAAATTTAATCATCTGCTCTAACGAAATTAATTTAGAAAGGAAATTATTTTTCATTTCATAAAACAATTTTCCAATTAATGTCTTTAATGATTTTAATTTTCACGACAAAGTTGTTCTAATAAAAATTTAATAAAATATGTATATTACGTAAGTATAATACAAAACACGACGAAAATATCTATGTGAAATTTTGTCAAAAGTAAACATTGGATTCCAGAAAAGCTGTTAAAATATATAATAATTTATTTATGTGTTATATAAAAAATACGATATCAATACATGACCCTATGATGTATTTATTTATTTTTATTCATGAGAAATATTTCTTTAAAATTCCACCTCCGTAAAAGTTCAAGTATCAAAATTGAATGTGCCTAATGAAATATTGTATGATATAGTAATCTCATTTTACATACATACAGAGTAGTAGAAAATTCTTGTAATTTCAGATAACTACTATCACGATTTTATCGAACGAAATAAAATATTATTACGAATTGTCCAAGTTAGCATCTATAGATATAAGAAATACTCTTTTGTTCACAACTTATCTCTAGTTACGATTATGTATTATGTATATAGCAAATTTCAATTCAGTAATACAAATGTAACAGTTAGATGTACATGTATACAAAGTTTCGACATGCCAATAATGCCTCAAGTACCAATGACTGTATGAAACAAACTATGTAATAACTATATGACTAAATATATGAATACTAATAATTTACGCTAATGCGAACTTATCAGAACACAGATCAATAGCAGCATTTATTTCAATTACAATGCATAGCATTTTATAACGTTTGTAAATTGATAATAGCGTAATAGTAAACTGTATTATTCATCTCCACTATGTGAACATGTTAACGACACGAATATATTGTGCACTAATAAATTTTTCCGTATTCTAAATACATGTATTACGGTATTTTCTAATAACATATTAATTATAGATTATACGAGTCAATTATAAAAGGGTGAATAAATACATAACTTCGTGTATTTTGTTAATCGATTCATTTATTATTTCTTTTGTAGAACTAATTGCGTTACAGTGTTTCCACTTTGTCCACCGAATTTGAATGTGTCAGCAGGA